AATTCAATTAAGGACTTTCAGGATGCTGGATGTTTAAAACGAGAACAGATGCCTTGACTTACGAGATGATTAACCCGACTAATAATTATATGACAATTTGTGTGCTTTACTCTGACATTTGTAGGCAAATGCACTACTCATTTGGCTGCACATCCTAATCCATATGCACTATTCCAACAGGGGGTACTTTAAAAGTTACACAGCAGCTTTAAAAACATGACACAGTTGATGTTCCATATAATCTGCTTGTTTTTCCAATATGCAGACTGTTAAAAATGTATATATTTGCAATCTAGAAAGCAGTGTGACAGCGCTTTATACACTGCTCCACAATGCAATACAGGATGCACATTCTTCACACATAATCATGAGACATTTTTCCTTGTTGCAAAGTGGCCTTTGGGTATTTTTTTGTGGGGGATGAATTTATCGACTGCTTGAAATCTCAAACAATAAATGAAAATAGGATTACCCCCTGCTTTCATGATGGACAACCCTTTTTCTGGGCTCCAACCTGTTTTTCTCAGCGTGCATTAGTGAAAACAAAAGGCAACATTAGGCATTCCTAATCCCTTAAAGCCTTTTTATGTAATTTAATAAATAAGCTGCTCCATTCACTGCTTCGCTCCCCTTCCCACACCACCACTCACCACTGGGAAAAGGACTCATGCATATTTCAGCACTGTATTTGCCCACTGACTGAAGCTTATTGTGGCTGCATGCATATACCGAAGCAGCCTTCTTCCTATTCTCATCCTTTTTGTCTTTTGTCCACCCCTGATACCTTGTGCTTCATAACTATTTACTTAACTGGTAGCACGAAACATTATAAAAAACAGAGATCAGAAGCACATAAAAATCTCCCAAAACATTAGCCAACAATAAATTAGCACGCCTTTTCTCCACTCCACATTTATCAAGTTCTACTAGAACAGATTTCAATAGCCTTGAGTGGGATTTCTGTTCAGTATGCACAGATTTAATGGCTGGAGCCTTTGAGGTTGAATGTGTTTACCAACTCAGAGGAAAGGCTCACATTCACGTCATTAACAAGTGAGCCACTTTGGTCGGATTCCCTTGCGGATAGTTGAAACAGATCTATTTACTATCCAAGCTAAAGCAGGAATAAGACAGAAAAAGGGCACCTTGGCACAAAATACAGCCATGGCAAAAATGTTTGATTTTGTTTGCAGCGAGTAAATATCTGCTCGTGGCTTTTCAGTTTGGTTCTGATGTCTAAGATGTGGTGTGGCGCTACAGAGACACACAATGTGCGGATGATGGGACACCAATCACAATAATTAACCGAAGCGTTTCAGACTTACCAGTGCAATTTTCACTTTAATTAAAAGTTTTCTGAGACAAGTGTGATAATTGCACACGAGTATGCCTGAAGTCAGGAATTTACAATTCAGAATTGCTAATAAACTTTTTTCAAAACTATCTTATCCAGAACTTCTTGCAAAACCGAAAGAAAGAGAGAAAGAAAGAAAGAAAGAAGAAGAAAGAAAGAGAAGCAGCAAAAGAAAAACGAGCAGTTTCTTTCTGTTTTGCTTTTCTTTTACGCACTTTGTTTAACCAGTTCAGAGTCACAGGTTTTGATGGATCAAACCAGCTACCAATAAGCAAGAGGTGTTTATAGGTCACTGGCCCATCACAAGATCACACAAGCAATTGTCATGGTTGAACATTGCATTATGTTTTTAGTTTAATTGCTTTACCCTCTTACCCTGTGCTCATACTGTGACTATGGATATAAATATATACTTTTTTCAATCAAAACACATCAAATCAGAAAATTGAACTTCATCTCAGCACACGAAAGAAGGCTCTCTGGCCATATGAGACCAACATTAAACAATGGCCTAAAAATAAAATTCAGCATGGTGGAAAACATTATTTATCACACTGACCACACTATGCCCATTATGAAAGATGGTGATGTGATCGCGCTGAATGTTTTAGTTCAGGAAAGGCAGAATAGCGTTTTACAAAACATTAGAGAGTCCTAGAATGGTCTATTCAAAGTCCAGACACAGAAACTCGAGGTATTTCTTCAGACTTACAAGTCTCCAGATTTCTACAAAGCATATAATACAGGAGGCTAAACACCACATATTTCAGATTTTTTTTTCGAGAAACTATGCAGCGTTTTTATTTTCAGCTTCACAATTATCCACTGCTCAGTGTTGGTCCATCAGATTACATTCCACCAGAAATTTGTACGCGCAACGTGAAAAACTTTGAAGAAGTTTAAGTGGCATTGATACTTTTGCAGGAAACTCAATGCCAGTTCATCACTGCCAATTCTACACTTCTGCTGTAAAAAGTTACTGTTATTTGATCAAACTCCTCCGCAGCTACACACCTTCACTTCACCTTGAATTCGACATTATATGACCATCTATAATTTCTCACAGCCATCATCAGGACATCATAATAAAGAAGTTACTGCTTATGAAATCCTTTAAAGATGTGCTCTAGGCAGGACAGGCTGACAGCAGTGCGTTTCCAAAACTACAACAACTGCATGTGTCAGATAGGTAGGCTGCTGTATTGGACTGATACCGGGGCTGTGTCTAATATGTTGGAGATTGACTTACTCCTACTGGCTCCCAGTTAGTGATGGGGATTTTGAACTATTTTGCCACTCCAGATCTGCACACCTTCCCCCAGGCCCTCTCACCTCGATGGCTTAAATATTAATAGTAAGTTGGAGGATTGAGGATGAGTGAGGAGAGGAGACGACTGACGGCTTAATCATGGAGGCAGTTGCCTCTTTCTCTCTCCTTTCCTTGCCGCTGTGGGCGGCTGTCACCACGACCTACATGATGTAATCACATCTATAACCCTGATATGGGCCACTGAGGGCCATGAGGAAAGGGATGCAGAAACATAGAACGTTCTAGGGCAGAAAGGTGGAGATCACCTCAGCATATGATCATTTCAGGTCTAAACCCAAAGACAAAAAATAATTATGTTTATGGGTCCCTTTCCTCCTCTCCCACATTTCAAAAGTATATTCAATTTGCAATTTATTTAAATATTCTCTTTATTTTTTTCCAAATATTCAGGAAAAAAAACAAATGTTCATTAAAAACTTCTAGATTAGAATGAGTATATGAATTAGCTTTTATTTAGTTACAAAATTGACCCTATAAACTTTTTATTAAAGGTCTGCCAATACATCCAGCTCATAAAACACGATAAGACAGAATCAGATTTCAGCAATAACTTGGATAATAGTAAAAATTATTTATTTTGGAGAAAATGTTTCAGAAATGTTAAACGGTGTCTTAACATGTAATCATTATGGTATGGCTTGACCAGTCTAGTTATTTTTAGATTTAGTATCGCATAATATCAAATGCAGTCCAGACTGAATGGCACCGTTAAACAGGACTTTAGATTAGACAGATAATTTACTCCAAACAAGCAAAACATTGGTAAGATTTTTGGAGTACATGCACAGCCAGTGTAGATTCACAGAAGTCGCTAAACTGTTGCAGTTTCTTTGAGCCTTCAAAAAGCTACCACACAAACTATTTGAAAAGACCCCTTCCTTTGTTACTTCAAAATAAGAGCCCTTGATATATAGTCTTTTGGACTCACCAGTACTGAGAAAACGGAGAATGTTTTGGTGAAAGTGTTTGTGCCTTGTGTAATATTGTGTAATTTTTTCAAAAGGTTAACCTTATTTCTTGACTCTGCAAAGCAAAGACGTACCATTTCCTTACCGACATGCATGCACCTGTAATCATGCTGTTGCTGGGTCATTTCAACAAGACGGTTCCGACCGAAGGTAAACCACTGGTTTGTCAACTTACAAAGAGGGAAGATGAAGAAAAGTTTTTAAATGCACAATAAGTTGTTCCCTCATCAAGGTATCAACCAACTTTTTGAGCCCTGCTCATTTTCTGAGTGATAATTCATGCAAATATGGAAAACAAATATGCAAATATGCTAACCTAAAAAATGACTCATTGTCAGAGGTGAAATGGAAGCTAGTGGCATGAGATCTTGGGACATTAACATATTTTCCGTCAAAGTCAAGCCCACCATCCTGTGCCAACAAGTGGCGTTCCCTAATGAATTGAAATGGACCTTGGGTATAAATGTATCTCCTTTAAACTTGACACCCCATTTCTCTATGAAGTAAGAAAGGAAGATGTTGTTTGTTACCCTGTTGAGTTGCCTAATGAAGAGGTGTTGGCTGACAACACTCGGTTATATAAGTCTTAAAGACATGCCCACCAACATAAATCGTTTGTATATATTTTAGGTCATTGGTAAGGCAAGGAAACGGTGACAGCCAAGATATAAATCATTTGCACGCACTTGGAGAACACTGACTGGCAAACCACCAGAAATGCTAAAGCTGGCATTTGCTTTGCAGCTTCTAATCAGTGGCAATACTTCCTATCAGCTGGCAATAGCATATTGTCCTTGGGAGCCAGAGGCACTTATTTTTAAAGCTATAAAGGGAATTATGTTGGGGGGGTTAGAGCTAACCGAGAAAAAATAGATAATGATACATTCAAAGCAAGATTGAAGAGCATACTTTCCCACTAAATTGTCTTTTTTAAATGATGATAAAAGGAGAAATGATGGTGAGACTTAGATTTGTTTTATTATAATTGATTTCAAATGTTTAATAACACAACATTTCCAAAGTATTTTAAATAGTGATCCATTAATAGGCAACATTTAAAGACTGGAAAGAACACTTGGAGATAAATTGAGGCCAATGACAGACCTTCATAGGTGAGGAACAACAAATAGGAAACTTCCTAAGGGACACCGGATTCATTATCTACCACTGAATTACAGCGTTTCCCATGTGAAAAGAAGACCCTGATGCAAGAGGAAGGAATAAATGAAAGAGGCCACTAAGACAGTTCACATCACTATAGTTGATCTCATTAAAGTTGCAGTGGCAATGTTTTGAACTAGGCAAACTGTACAGTAAGACCAAAAGCAAACAGAGGCGCTGTTCTTACCCCATTTATTGGATACGTCTTCCATCCCAGCTCTCCAAGCACAGACGTTGTATCCAGCAACACCACTGAAACAGAAAACAAACAGAGAAAGACAACACGGTAAGCAACCTGACAGCCCAGAAAAAGATATCTATGTGCAGTGAAACTGAAATGGCAGTCATGAATGTGTTAATGTTGACATTTTTATATTGACAAAAATTAGATTTTTGGATCAATATAAAGAAGACTGGCAGCACTTACACTGGGAGCAGCAATTTTTGTCATGTGTGACATATTTTGGGGGCAGATGGACTGAAATCAGATTGCTGTCAGAAATCTATTCCCACCTCTGCCTTCCACTGCCTGTTGGTGGAATAAAATAATTTAGATGCATTTGTATTAGCCCTGTTGTGTCGTACTGTGTATCTCATTATGCTAATGTTCACAGAATTCTATGCATTGCTGAGGCATAGCATTATGACCACCTGCCAAATCAAGTGTTTTGGCAGCCCTTACTTTATGGCCAAAACTGCACTGACCTACTGCATGGATTTCACTACAGTCCACCCCTGAAGGTATGCTGTGGTATCAGGCACCAAAAGGTTAGGAGGAGATCCTTTAAAGGTGGACTATTATGTTTCCTTTAAAAGGTTGGGATCGGTCTATCAAAAACATGTACATTACTTTTTACCCCTCACAAAATTACTCTTAGGTAAGGAGTTTCTAATCCGACTATTTTGAAAGGAGCCTACTTTGTGCTCCTCTCAGAACGAGATATTTTAAGGCCTGTTGTGACCTCAGTCCAGATAACCTGCAGTTGACCACAACCCACAGCTCAATGTTTACACTTACACGTGAAAATGGCTGCAAACTGGATGCGCAATTGTACATCTTTGAAAAGCGGAAGTGGATCCTCCTGTACAACCAACAAGAATGCATTAAGTGGCTTCTGAATAGTAAGACAACTACCAAGCATTTGTCTTTTCCAGCAGCCATTGTACAGTGCACCCAGTGGTAAAACCAGCTGACCAAAGATGCAGGAGCTCCACTTGGGTTGCTAGGTGACAGGCTGGCTTGCTGGGATTACAAAGTAATGACGCAATGTTACTCAACAATCAGCAGGTTCTTGAAATGGTTCATTTTTCAGACATCAAAAAACATTAACTTATTGTCAAAAAATGGCTGTTTTTTGTTTTATTTTAAGCGCTTGACCTGTTTTTAGAAGCATTACAGACTGAACTGAAAATATAAAAATGTGCATACATAGGCACCTTGCTTGTTATGTGGCTGTCCAGTTGCATATGCAAAAAATTGTGATGCACTGTGTATTTTGACACATTTACATTAGAACCAGCATCTGGTGTAATAGACCTCTAACCTTGACTTCCTATCTTCCTAAGAACATGTTTGATATTTACAGATCCCTGCAGACTGGGAGCAACCCACAAAAACAGCAGGAGAGGAAAATCTCTGACTCAGTTGTCTGGCATCACCAGACGGCCCTTGAAAAAAAAATGTTCCCTTGGTATCTAATATACTCCACCTCCCAAACAGGTGCAAAAGGTCAAGTGATAATCAGTGTTCAATTCACAAGACAGTTAAGTGTCATGTTTGTTTGGTTTGTAATATGCATATGGAAAAGAAAGATGTTATTTATCATCCAATACTTTTTTTTTTTTGTTGCAAAAGCATTATGCCATTTCTGGCTGAAGTTAAACTTTCTAGGATAGTTTATAAAAAGAAGACAATGCAGTTCTGGTGTGGAAAATATCACCAACCTTGTCAATGCTTTTTTTCTGACTCTCAAGGACAGAAGATTTTAATAATTCAAGAGGAAAGCATTTCTCCTCAAAATAAGTCATTTACAGTGAAAAGAAGTAGACATGACTTCTTGAATTTACTCTCGGTTAGATGCCAGCATATCCAGTGAACTGATAGAAATGTTTTTTGCCCTCACTTGTGGCAACATTAGGGAATAACTAGGAGACTAAAACCGCAACATATTTTCAGAAATGTATAAATATTAAATGAGGCCCATCTATTCACCTCGTCAAACAAGCCAAGTACACGGTATATGTGACAATACACCTACAGGATGTCCTAATTATATGCAGGAGTAAGGCATCATGAGGTAGGCCTGGAGAAACAATACGTTTTAAAGGAAAACAACATTTTTATTTACACAAGATCAATAGTAACACTTTTTTCCCCGAACAAATCAATGCGTATTTTCTTCTTGAAAATGACCTGATTGTATGTGTCAGTTTGTCATGAATGTCCACTTACAGCTTTTTAAGTAGATCTCTGAGGCTAGTTATACTAATACACGATTGTTAGTGATGGCATTTCCAAAGAAATCTCCATAAGCGTTATTACTGTGAATGAACTACTTTATAAAAGCAAAGAAGCTCAAGAAGCTTGTTTCTGTACAAAAATGGTTCCATTTGTGTCAAAGGAAAAAGGAACATTTTCTCTTAGAAATCAGTGATCACCTCTGATTGCACCCGTTTGACAGATTGTTCAACGACCTACTCTCTTGGGTGGTAACAATAAAACTTTGAGCATCTCCATCGATAACAGGAAGTAGTTGTGTGGCTGACCAGAGAATCATTTGCAAAAAAAGCAGTAGTGTTGGTTTCTGCAGGGACTTGGAGAGGTCTTCTCTGGTGCATCAAGGACTCTGTTCGCTATTCATTTTGCATTATAGCAGCATCACTAGTTTGAGCATGCACAAAACTTCTATTGTGAGATTTATGTGGTTCATTATTATAATAGCACTATATCCGAGTCGTAGGTTTAGTGTTGAGGAGGTTCGTGGCAGCAGATATGACTTGACCAACTTTGTGTGGCCTGGTCTTAACTGTGGCAAACTGCATACACTTCAAAATGTATGCACTTTTGAAGTGTATGCAATAGTTCACAAAATCAATGTTTACAAGTTTACTTGACCAAAGGAATATTTACAGGTTGCAGAACGAATTTAACATTTATTTAACATTTGTCATAAAAAGTAAATCTATTTAGATATGTGAGGGAGGGCGAAGGAACAATCAGAGAAACATAAGCTTTACAGTACAGTTATACAACAGTCACGGCAAAATAAACAAGAAAACCGTAGATCACCGTAGAAACATCACTGGAAAAACTAATAGGTTTTGAATTTTATGCAGGATTTTGACTGCACTCAGATATGCGACTTCTGCACCAGATTAAAATTTCTGCATGAAATGGCATTGTTCATGATGTACAACACTGCACAAAGAAGCCCTGACATGCATTGTTTCATGCTGCTCATAAACTCAAGTCCCACTGGTGTTTCCCTCTCCACAAAAAGGTTAAAACTGAAGGTCATGATACAGAATCCTCCCATATTTAGAGACATTCCTTAGACTGTGAGGAAACATCCTAAAGCAGATCTAATACCTGCGGTGAAGCATCAAAGGCCCTTTTTGGCCAGAATTTGGTGTTTGCTTTTACTCCAATTTCTCCTAACAGTCTATCTGAATGGTAATGAAAGTTTTGAAAATTATGTAGCAATCTTAGCCTAAGGCATTTCTAAAACAAACCCTAATCCATCAAAACAAACTATTTTTAATGCCAGCATCTATAAAATAAATGTTAAATGTGGTTCATAAAATAAATGTTTACTTGTCCAAACTCTTGTGGTGTGTGCTACATGTAAGCATGATATGGTCTGTGTATATTATTTTATGTTAGATATAAAAAAAAAATTACACAGATTGACTGTCTATAAAGAAGATATTCAGATATTAAAGCCATTTTCCTGGACAATATTTTGAATGTTCTCACTGTTCCTCAACCCAAGAATTTGACATATGCAGGATGGAGAAAAGACAAACTGCATAATGGAGTAGGAACCCCTGCAGTGTCCAAGAACGCATTAACATATTAATAGGCCATTTTAACTTTTGGGAATAGATTATGGGAACTGAAAATCTGAGATTATAAACAGGGCTTATAGGGATATATAAATATGTTCTCCCTAAGTTTTCAATATAATACAAAATATTATATATATAAATATTGTCATGCAGAAAATACAGAGCAGAAAAAGGGATCCAATCGCAGTCCAAAAAGAACAAACGTTGACATATGATAGATCTGAAAAGACCTTCAGAGGGTTTATAAAAAACAAGACCAACGTAATCCCAAACAGGAATTTACAATTTAAAACCTGCCATAGATAGTATGAATAATTATTTGCAATACAGTTTTCATGTTCTTGATTATTGAACAGTTTAATTACATTTTACAACCAAAGCTTTTGTCAAGTTTTATGTTTGGTTGATTTTTTTTTTATTTATTTATTTTTTTTACATTTAGTCTTCATACACAGGAATTACAAACAACAACAAAAAAGCCCCATAAAATCATGAGCCACAGAGGATATTTATATAGCACAGATTTAACCAGAAACTGAACGATTTCTCTGGAACAGCAACTGAGAGCTTTTAATGACTCATGCTGTGTTAGAGCAGTATGAGATTAGGTGGAGAAAATGGACATTGATCTATATGAAATTGCAGCAGATTATTCTATTGATTGACTGTCCTGTCCAGCGTAGAAAGAACAGACTTCATGCTGATCGTTTTATCCTCCAGCCACAGCCTCTCTGTAATGCAAGTTTAATATTTCCTCTGTCGGCTGGTAGTTCCAGCATCTCTGCGTCTCTTCCTCCACAGCTGATGACAGGTCTGTGCCCTGGTCTGCATCACTGGCAGACTGCAGGACTAGTTGACCCTGCCAGTGCTGGTAATGGGTACCATTAGACTACTGCAGGCAGGTAACCAGCTCAGTTTTTGGAAAAGGACCAAATTTCTTATAATACGCCGTGCTACACACCAGAATAAGATTACTTCTACTTATAAAGTAAACTTCACCAAAGAAAAAAGTGACTGTAGGCTGTTGTGACCTGAAAGGACAGAGAAAACTTCTGATTTGGAGCTGGAAAGCTGCAATAGAAAGACATTGACCTTCCTGTGGTAATTTGAGTATATAGACCCAAGTAGTGGCTTTTTACGAGAGCAACAGAAGTTTATGCAAACCACCAGAGGTGATCTACTCAGTGACATGGATTGCTCTCATATTACTCATAATCACACTGAATAACTGTCACGAAAAAATAATCTGCAGAAGATTATTTTAATTAAAATCATAACCAGCATAGTTTATAACACCACACTGCAGAAGTGCAAGGAAACAGCATTGACCACTGAGATCTTTATGCCAATATCTTGTATTAGTTACTAGATTTTGAGCCTGATCTGAACATTAATCAATGGGTGTTACTTTTTGAACTTTCCACATTACTGACTGCCCGTCACACTGACAGGATATTACTC